CATCCTGTAAAAATATACTCGAAGAAAATTTTACGTAGAAACATCAGTTTCACAATTCAATATGGACGTGAAAGTCAGTTTCATTTCGTGTATTTATAGATGAAAAGATGAGATGTTCACGCAGTCCAGTGAGGAATGTTCACCAATAATCCTTTGACTGGCTAGTTTGCTGGTTTTTTTCCAATTAATCACAAACAGAAATTAGATAAGGTAACTGTTTAACAAAGTGGGAAAGTTTTACTCCGAAGAGAGATTGCATGAAGAGTTGGGTTTCCTTGAAAAATAAATGTCTGAAAGCGACCATCCAAAAGAATTCATAACAGTGTGCGAAAAAGAATTACGGTAATGAAAAGAACACTGTTACAGTCAAGACGGGCTCTGTATTTATCCGGCTAATCTAACAGAATAAACAAGAGATTAGGAATTCTCTTTGTTACATTTTACCAGATCGCTAAACTTGCTCCTGTTTACATTGGTAGTCGCGCTGTTTATCAATTGAAAGTGGTTACGTATCTATCACAAGTCAGGTCCAACTGTATTTACAAATTAATGCGTACATCTCAGAGCAAATACATTGGTAGGACAGGAAAATGGGCATACACTAATTTCTCTGCACATATTTCAAAGACCCAGAGACTCCAAGGCTCCCAGGCCCTTACCAGCTCTGTTAGCTGACATCTTATCAAATAGGGACATATTTTGGATTCTCCAACCTTATTTATCATTATCTGCAAGCAAAGAAATCCAACTTAATCTCAGTTCTCTTAATGTATTGCTATAAAGCGGCTTTATTCTAACTTGTGTGATTAATCTTAATTTACTCCCGTGAAAATTATCCCACATACTACATAATTATTTATCTTATTTTCTACCGTCATTACTATTATTACATATATCATTATTAATGTCACCTTCACTGATTTTGGAACGACTGATCTGAACTCAGTTAGCTGATTTAAAATCACTTCTAAACGCTTCTTGTATGTTATTACGTAATCTTTATTTATTATGCTGTTGGTTTTTTAACGTTTTTTTGTTTAGTCACTTACTATGTCTTCTTCGTGTCAGTTGTAGCGATCATGCCGTCGTATTTTGCTCATGGTTGTTTCCATAAACTACAATCTACACGCCTAACTTCTGTTGAATCAAAATAAAAAAGGTATATGTTCTTAATGGATTAGTCCTATGCATCTATCTATTTAGGCTGCCTGTAGCTGAATGGAAGCTTGAAATTGATATTCCCCAAATTTGTAAGTTGTATTCAAAACCATTTTTTCTGAACATCTTGACCACGTCTTTTTTCGATCAAAACTATACTACTTAATTATGCAGCTACGTTCTTTATCCTGTACTACATTGATTTCCCTACCCTTGTGAATAGTAATCCCTTCATCCACTACACTCAGAACAAGATTCAAATGTGCAACACTTTTGTCATGTCAAACAACGTTTTTACATGGTCTAAAGAGACAGTGCATCACCAAGAGTATCTTCTACAATGTGCTTGACTCTTATCAACAGCTGTTTTCACACTACACTGAAGATCAGTCGGCCAGAAGCAATTGGTTACTAAAAACTCTGAAAATCAATCAATCAAGGGATTGTACACACTCTGAAGATATCGTTGAGTAACATTACGTGCCACACAGATCCCCAGGTGGGACCTCAATGGGAAATGACAAGGTTGGCGTTAATTTTAGGGTGAGGAGATCGTGTGATAGGGAGGTGAAAGCTTATGAAAAGTCTTAGAACCAGTGAAAGAGGACTTAAGAGAAAAACGAAAATAATGAGGATTTGCTGTTGAAGCCGCATGTTCCACCTGGAACCTAAGGAAATACTAATAGTGTAACGACAGAAGACAAGAGCCAAGCAACATATAGTTTATTGAGAAAATCAAGCGATATTTATACATTTTTATGACATAATTGTCAGCGGAGAAGCAATGTCCTCTGATTGGCTGTTTTCTTATTAAAGGTTATTCTATACTGCTTGTGACTGTTTCTCAGAATGTCAAGCCGTATATCTGCGAATCGTATTTGCACACGTTAAGTCTCCTGTGATTGGTTGGTGAGTTCCTCAAACTTAAGCTTTGTTACTGTTTTTCTCATGACCCCGATTTGGACGTAACATTGATGTAAATTGCTGTCTACCAACTTTGACTTGCAGCCAGCTCTCACCACAATAGTATCTCAGCGCAATTGCAAACTTTCATATCAATTTGGAAATTATTTTCTCCTTTAGATATCACCTAAGTCACTATTTAGAATTATGAAAAAATTGTAACTATGAATAGGAAATACTTCTTTCTCATGACTAAGTTCAGGGTGCATCTAAGAATTCATAGTTCAACAAACATCAGTCTCCCCTTAGAACTCGATATGTGTATCGTTTTTCCATTTCCACAATAAAATTTATGCTGCCGAGGTATTCGCCTTCTAATAAATTTGGTAACAGCACAAACCTAGATTAAGCAATACTGTACTAGAATAATTTGTTAAGCTGACTTCCGATTATTAGTTGAATATCTAAACCGGTGTTTTATAAAATTAGTGCTGGTGATGTCGTCAACCCCGACAGTGGAACACATATTTTGAAACAGAAACATCAAGGGAGCTGTTTAGATTTTCACCATAATTTTAACTGAAAACCCGACAAATTGTGTTCAGATTAAGTTATTCGCTGGACCTAATTTTAGCAAGCGGGAATTACAGTGCATTATATATGAATGCACTAGAGGACCTGGATTTTGCGGATGCTTTATGTTTGATGTCACACAAAATCGAAGACTTACAAGCGAAAACCGACAGACAAACTGATCGAAGAAGCAGACAGTGAAGACAGGACTCCAGGTGAAAATAAACAACACGGAGGTTATGAAAATAACCAACCAACCAACAACAACAACAGCTGCAAAATCAAGCGCCAATCACCATCAACGGGAGGGATTTGAAAGAGGTTACTTCATTCACTTCACTTTTCTAGGAAGAATCGTCTCAACTACAGGAAGTCGGAACGGACGAGGATGTCAAATCGAGCGAGAATCGGGAAGGTGAGCGAGAAACACATTCATTCATCAACCTAAAACCAATCTTCGTCACTCAGCATCAGCGTCGGTGGCACAGTGGTTAGGACTCTCGACGACCATGCACATGGTCGAGCCCACACCGGCGCACACCAGATATCTATGGTCGGCCTGAGAAATTTGGGCTACCGATATCCACGCTGAAAATTCCATACTTGTACCAAAAATACAGTGTGGAATCAAGCTGTTTCCAAAAAAAATAAAATAAAAAAATAAAATAACGAAATTCAGTCGCATTTTCAATACAAACGTCAAGTCGGTCAGTTCTTCTATACGGATGAGAAACTTGGCAGGTGGGTCACAAAGAATATTTCCAACAGCCTGTTGCGGACCTTTATCACACAATTGTCTTCGCTGGATCTATACTGAAGATCAGATGGCCGGCCGGGCCGGAAAGAATCACCAACAAGAAACTCTGACTGGGAACGAACAAACAAAACAAGTGTCAATCGCCGCCCTACAAATATGCAGGAGAAAGTGGAGATGGATTACAATCGTGTCTGAGGAGACGGCTGGGTGACATCGCGCGCACGTCAGGCCATTGCTCGAGTGGAACCAGGCCGAAAGGGAAGCGGCGAGTGAGACGTCAGTGCAAGGGTGACATGGAGTAGATTGTGTGAAGGGGAGGAGTTGAAAGAGTATGGACTAAGATGGATGGAGGTGAAAAATACAGCAGAATACAGAAGCAAGTAGAGACGTGCAGTTGAAGCCCTATGTTCCACTAGGAATCCAAGGAAACAATAATAATATTATAATAATAGTTCACGAATGCAGCATTTGTTGACGATGAGCTTAAGCTAGTCAATTATGAAGGGGAAATTGTTGCTTGTCACTTTGCATACGTTCATCTTGACTGGTTGTTTAACAGCTGTGTGAGTATATGTGAAGCGCCGTTGAATGAATGACACTCAGCACTTATGTAAACAGTTGATTTTTGCATCAATATGCTATGTTCTGGTTGATTTGCTGTATTTGGCTGAATGTTAAGTAGCTGAAACTGCTTCGATTTCTCTTGATTTCAAAGCGAAATCTCTCATATGCCACCTTTTAAAAGGACATATATCCTTTGTATAGGATTTTCCAATAATATGCATCCGTGACAGTACCAGCCACCGAACCCAAAACTGCTTAGTTACTAGATGAACACGCTTAAAGATGAACTGTCATCTGATGGCTTATGTCAAGTTTAAAAATAGTATTGCCATCTGACAGAATTTAGAATTCACTGACCATTTGATTGCCCACTTTACGGGGTGGGTAGACTCCATTTTTACTATCGAAACACTCTTTTGTGGCCACGTGTTCTTGGCCTCTGCTGGATAAGTCCTGTAAACTGCCTTCACGCAGTATAGGGTGGGTGTTCTCACTAAAATGAAAGGAAAAAAGCGAACTTTCGGTGCTTATAATCGGAGGTCTACGTAGGCTAGCTCGAAATCTCTGACTCTAAACTTTTGGTGTACGTAGACTCCAAAATCCATAACGATCGAATTGCACAGGAACATGTTTTGGTCCCTGGCAACCATGGAAACGCATCCCCTGACAGTAAATGGTGCTACCTTATGTATTAGGCTTCAGGTCAAAGACTCAACGAGTTTTCCATTAATACGACAACCTGCCCTAATCTGGGCGTCTAGGCCTCATCTATGACTTTGCAAAAATTATTATTTTGGTGTGCAGCATCTCCCAGCATTCACATTACGGCAAGTTTGTGTGTCTCAATACAATAAAACAAAATAACTAGAGGAGTAAATAGTAAAAGTGATCGTCCAGCAACCTGAGGATACCACATCTAGACGCTGATGCTCACTGCTTCAGACTAACAAGAATTGATCCAGAATACCTTGATTTCTATTGATTTTAGAATCGTTGATGAGACGAATTTACTAGGCGGCTACATATCCATGACTTAAAATGCTTATCACATTACGTCTTGATTTAGGGAAGTTAAAAGAAAACACGAAAGGCTAGATCCTAAACTATTGGCCTGCCACCATACCTGAATTATCTGGATCCTCTTAATTGCTTTCTGTCTGTCTGGATTCAACATATAACTTGGCACCGTAGTGCACCAGTTCGAGTTGCCACGTTACAAATAGCACACAAAGGTAGACAAAAAGATGAGTGAAGAGAATCAATACAGTCTGACAGGTATAAGAGTGAAACAGAATGGGTAATGGTAGAAAGAAATATGAAAGATTACAGAGACTGAATACATCTACGCTGGCCATTGACAACGATTTTGAGCCATGTCACCTATTGTCTCCAGCCATTGATTCCTAGAGTCTCGGAAGTCTGCATCTCCCTACCTGACTCAGTTTAACTGTCAAGGATTTCATGGATTGATGCGATGTTTTTGTTTGGCCACCACTTACTCTTTTCCAGCCTGCACCTATATCAGCTAGCAATGCCCGTCGGGGGAGGCGATGGTTAGGCATGCGCAGCACGTGACCTAGCCATCTCAGTCTATGTAACTTTATAGCCTCGTCGATTGATTTTCCCTCTTTGCCCAGCACTCTACGCCTAACATCAACATAACTTACCTTATTAAAACACCTAACGCGAGAAAGAGATTGCAGACATCTATGATCGAAAGCAGTCAACCTTTTCATGTCTTCAACTCGTATTGGCCATGTTTCAGAGCCATAGAGAAGGACGGAGCGAACTGCTGAGCAATACATACGTCCCTTGGTTGATAGCCGGGTGTCACGCCTACGCCAAAGATGGTGTAAGTCAGCGAAAGTAGCTCGAGCTTTTTGGATCCGTGCTGAGATTTCGTCGCCAATCAGTCCGTTGGTGCTAATACAACTTCCCGAATAGGTGAAGTGGTCAACATGTTCCCTCTCACTAAGCTAGGAGTTGACGTGGTCCAGTCCTGTAGCAGCATCTTACATTTTGCAGGGGCGAATCGCATGCCAAACATACGAAGATTCCTGCTCAAGGTGTTCAGAAGACTCTGCATTTTGTCAGCATCCTCCCCTAACAGGACTATGTCATCTGCATATTTTAAGTCCGTAAGACTATTCCCTGGTAACAAGTCGATTCTAAGTCGTTAAGTTCGGTTAAGGATACTTCCATTGGCATATCTATGATGAAGTTAAACAGGAATGGGTAAAGTGGACATCACTGTCGAACACCACCGGTTGTTATTAATTCAGATGACGATTCCCCATAAGCCCTTACACGACTACGTGAGTTTGAATGGAGTGCCTTGATTAGTGCAATTTACTTTCTTGGCACTCCCTTCACAGTCAAACATTGCCATAGTACCTTTCGATCCACGGAGTCGAAGGCTGCCTTCAAGTCAAGGAATATGGCAACTGTTGGACGCCGAAAAGTGTGTCTTTGTTCTAGAATCTGTCGGAGAGTGAAGATATGATCTATGCACCCTCTACCTGGTCTAAAGCCTGCTTGATTTTCTTTTTGCCTTCTCAGGTAAGAAGCACAAATGAGGGTTTGATGTTGGTAGCTGTCTAGATTGACGCCTGATATGTGCGTCCCACCTACATACTGTCACAGTTTTTAGATGTTCACATAATGAAATCGTATGCATTCTTCTCTGTGGATGCGTAGTAGATGTACAAGAGTGCTATCATTACCAGTGAAAATAATAAAGAATTACCCAACTATAAAAGTATACACGCACATACACATAGTACAAAAACAGTCAGGAAGCCAACATTTTTCTTCGTCTACAATAGACAATCAACAATGACATAATAAGAATACACAGAATGAACAAAATACCAGCAAGAAAGAATGAAGCTAAACGATAGTCTTCCAAATCAATCGGTAAAGGTGTTGGCAATGAAAATCTTGGTAACCATAAAAGTTGTTTAGGATAAAAATGACGCCAGTAAGCATAACTATTAAATTTATAGTTTTGTCTTAAATCAAAACCAGCTCCAATCCCTTGAATTTCTAAATCTGGACGATGACTTTCTGACAAGGTATTATTCAGAGTTAAATTTAACCATAAATATGTGGCATTCTCTATTCGGAATGTATCCCATGTGAGATTACGAATTGATTGGGGTGTAGCATTGGAACTTTTAGCAAAATTTGATATAAATGAAAGCATATAACCGGCCATTTTCACATCCACTTCATTGTACGCATATCGGGGAGGTTTAAGGCCCAGATCAGTTGGCCATTCTTCTTTCACACTTTCTTGAGATTTATATAATACTAATAAAGGTAATCCAAACATGTATTGTAGTTCTGAGCCAGGATAGGCACCAATTATTCTCGCCCATACATCACTGTCCGATCTGTAACCAAATACATACATCTGAGTACGATTTACTGGAAGATACTGATTGTTTACTGGATCAAACTTTTTCTCTGCAAACTTTGGATGTGAATGATACCTGAGCGTTTCAATCACACCTGAACCGATAAATCGATCTGTCCAAGCTGAATGATACATTTCCCATCGTATCATTGAATTATCTTTATCAGGCCAATAGGTATAATAAAAGCAAAGTGCATCAGTCATGCCAACCGGATCCTGGAACATGATGAAAATGCGCTTAGTCGTGCATTTATGTAAGAAATGAAATGATAACGATGAAAATAACATTATCAAAGAAGAATGCAAGATTTTTTGTTGCACCTCCCTTAAAATATCAAGTCATGTTTCACTCCGAGCTGAAATCAGTTAGAGAACCAATGGAAAACCTGAGATTACTGGAGAGCTTTTAGTCCTAAATTGGGACTCTTTATCAGTACGCGTCCATCTAGTTAGAACCCAGTACCTTTCGATTACAAGGCGAGTTCATAGATCATTCAGCCACTGGGACCCGATGGCTCATGAATTCCAACTTCTCCCGATTCGCAGTATACACAAAACAACCGCCAGTCACCGTCATAGGAAAGTAACGGATCTCTTACCTAACTTGGCGAACCACACTGGTTACTTCTCACTGAAATTTGTGGGCTATTGGATTGAGTCCAAGTGACTGAATGGTCTACAAGTTCATCTTATAACCGAAAAGTCCTAGGTTCGAATCCCAATGGTAGCGAATCCCTGAAGACTCCCAAACTAGGACCAGCAGCTGTGTAGTAGTCCAAGTTTCTCAAATAGTTTTCCAACCGATATTAAATTGTGAGCAAAACTGCAGCTAATTCTTTATCACAGTGGCGGAACTGTATTGAAACCAATCACAACCCTAATTTTTAATGCCACGCCACTCCCACCCTTTACCTATCTGAACTTGACCTGCAAGACATTTTCATCTTTCCTTTGGATATGACTGATCTATCGTGGTTTACTTATCAGTTGTATTTCTCATATATTTCAACCAGTATATATTCGCCAAGGTATATAAAGTACTCAATTTATCATTACTAACGAAACTTCATGATTTCAGATAGCTATACAAAGTGAGATGTATGAGAGAGATGTTTTCTTAGTTATGGTAGACTCACACGTGATTAGTTTTCCCTGCATACATTCTATGAATTATTCCCTAGAACACTTTCTTCCCTAACTTTACTGACTTATCACATGTGCTATTAGGGCTAACAATTTTGATTTCACTTAAAAACTTATCAAAGAATCGTACACATCTGACAAGCCACAATACTGATACTTTTCTTAAAATGGTACCTTCTGTGACACAAGAAATAAAATTTCAGTACTGAATAGTAGCAGCTCGTCTGCTGTTAGATATTGACTGTCTTAATATCATTATGCATTAAACAGAATTCAGAGTTCAAGTAATGGTTTGTAGGGATTTGATTGATTGGTTACAGGCTTTTCATCATGAGCTGACATTAGTTAGAGAACCATTGGAAAACCACCTGGGAGTACTGGACAGCTGTCTGTTTCGTCCTAGTTCGGGACTCTTCATCAGTACGCACCCACCGGGATTCGAACCCAGGACCTTCCGGTTACAAGGCAAGCTCGTATGCCATTAAGTAGGAATTAAAGGACCAGTGGATCGGGTCCCAGTGGCTTAATGGTATACTTGCTCGCCTTGTAACCGGAAGGTCCTGGGTTTGAATCCCAGTGGGTGCGTACTGCTGAAGAGTCCCGAACTAGGACGAAACAGACAGCTGTCCAGTACTCCCAGGTGGTTTTCCAATGGTTCTCTAACTGATGTCAGCTCATGATGAAATCCTGAAAGAATTCAAAGTTACTGTCTAGATTTTCCACTCTCTGGTATTTCTTGAATAATCTCAACTTCTTTTCGCTCCTTCCATTTCGAGTAGAATATTAGGCTTCACTGGCAAATCTAAACTTCACTCAGTTGCCTGTTATCAATGCCAACTGGCTCAACGGCTTCCTGAACCACTCTATCTTCTTTTACACGGTCACTTTCATTGACATTTGGAAGCCCAATCCATCGCTGCGTATTTGTGTACCACTAGGGGGCCTGGCATGAAGTTTCATTTGAAGATATCAAAGTTTTTCCTAAACATCTCTTTCAATTCCTTCTACATATTCGTCTGACGAGAAGCTGTTGGCTATTCTGTTTTTAGAGTCCCTTGTTGCAGGCGACAGTGGTGCATCATTTTCGTCTGCCACTGAAAAAAACATTTTTCATACATTATTACATACTACTTTCTAAATATTCAGTAGCAAGTCTACATTCAAAGCTTTTTCCTTATGCACTTGCGAAATTCTCGCAAATCTAAGGAATTCTAAGAATCAAAGTATTACACATTAACTGAGGTGAAGCAAGTACACAAAACCATGAAGTAATTTCACTCACCAGTGAAAAATCACGTTTCACCATTTCCATAAAACCAGCACGCATGAGATCAACTGACATACCAGAAAACTCAACATTTGGATTGGGTAAATTTGAATCTGTATCCAGTCGATTTGTTTGACTGATAAAATTCCAGTCTGAAGGACTGCCTATCTGATAAATTGAAGCTAGTGCATGAAAAACTCCATCATCCACCACTAAACCTGCAATGACCTAGAGTAAATCAAAGGAAATGAGTTATTTAAGAATAAAGTTATATGAGGAGAATATAGGTTAAGTTAAATGTTTGTATGATTAAGCCAGAAGCCTAACTGGTTAGTCAGAAGACTTTTAACAATGAAATCGAAAAATTAGGAACACATCACTATTGGAAAACTACCTACCACAGCCATGTTATATAAGGACGTGGGAGGGAAGTTAGAGGCCTCACGTAGGATTCTTAATAATACTGGAATTACAGTGACATTTGTACCAACCAACTCGCTTCGAGACACACTTTGTCGACTTGAGGACCCGAGAGATACACTGATAGGAAAATGTGGTATACTTTATCAAATGTCATGTAATGTTTTTCGGGGGAATTTCTTAGGTCACTAAGATAATCGGATCAGGGGGATTTAGGAAGAGCTAAAATTACTGGTCCTGTTAAGTATTTCTGTAAAAAGCTCAGCCATCGCAGTGCATTTACTTACATGTAATCACACAATGCGGTGTGATAGGGTATAAGTATTAAAAAGTAATTAGTTACTCTATAGAGAGGTGAATTATCAGATCTTTGTTCAGCGAATCAACACTAATCCAGTTTCACTAAAAATGACGTAACACCTATTCCGGATATACGTAAAATCGTGATAGAAAATATAAGGAAATAAAGCTACATAAAATAAGTTATGAGGTTGTGTCAGTACACTGATATGTTTACGAACAATGAATTGTACTCAAAATGTCACTCGGTTATCAATACTGTATCATTCAATGTGTGTTATACTGAATAAATTTATAGAATATAGAGTTCTAAAATTGATACTTACCGGTATATGAGCATAATGACCATTTTTCCATAGATAACTTGGCATATCTTGAATAAAATCATAGTCTAAATTTGGTGCCCATGGTTTTGTTAGCCAATTTGGTCTATGAACTCTTGTTTGACTAGCAGAATTTGAAAGTTCCACGGCAGTACGAGATCGTAAACAATTAATCATTGAACGTCTTGATGAAGTATCACATCCAACCTAAAAATATAAATACATGCGTATATATAAGGGTTGAAAAAGCACTGGGTTCGGCATCAGTAGGTTATTTAACAAAAAGATCTCAAGAGTTCGATTCTACCACAAGATTTATTTCCAGAATTAGAAAGAGAATATTCATGTGAGGGGTTGTAGGGATTTGATTAATGTCAGGTTGAATTCCCCATGGACGGATATTACTTAGAGAACCTTCGGAAACCCAAGAGTGCTGCACATCTGTTTCACACTAGTTTGGAACCCATCATCAGGGCGCACCCCCGACAACATCAGAGATATATCTTAGGTTGCAGGTCATAGACTGAGCCCCTTGGCATTCAAACATTGAGTTGGAATCCAATTGTCTCGATATGGTACCACCGGCATCCAATACCTTAGGTGAGTCTTTTTCTGAGCACCCGGTTTGGTGGACCAGTGGAGCTCCAGAATTTATTCTCTGCCAGTTATTGTGTGTTAAAGAGACAAATTTGTATTACACTTAGCCATTTACGTGACCCATAGCTGCTAGGTATTCGGGATTCTTGTGATTACTAAAAGAATGTATAAGAAAAGTCTATTGCTGCTATTCACGGAGATGAGTAGAAGTTCTGCTTCATATCACTGACTTCTTTCAGTCTGAAAACTAAACAGAACTCCATGTTTACCCCCAGATTGATGTCAGTTAGAGAACCATTGAAGACCAGCCTGAAGTACTGCCAGACAACCGTTTCATCGTAGTTTGGCAGTCATCGGCACTACGCATCCACCACCAGGCTCCAAACCCAGGACCTTCCAGTTACAAGGTAATCTAGCAGACTATTCAGCTACTGAGAAGCGTATCATTGGCCAGCCCATGAATTCTAACTTCTAACAATTCGTGATTTAGCGCGATCACCAATAAGTGTCATCTGTTCCCTACAGACCAACTCTTGAAAATTAATAGAATCCACTACATTGTGTTATTAATTGTAACTTAAGAATCCCTTGAATTCCAAAACTGTATTAGCCTAAATCGTTATATTGGTTAGAATTTATAAAGTAACAGATTTTTGACTAGACTCTATACTATAGAGCGAGGAGAATATGCTCTGTAAAGAAACTAGAAGAAGAATTTACGATTCTCGAAAAGGTGCTGAAAAACAGCGGTTATCCTCAAAGATTTATCAATAAATATGGAAGATGTGAAGGCTCACATACCAAACAAATCACAGTTGAAAAAAAAGCCTGTCTTCATTCAACTAGATTTTAAAGGTGAAGATATTGCAGAAATGGTCAACAGAAGACTGGGTACGTCACTAGCCAATCCTGCAGATAAGTTGGTTCCCGCCCATCGAACAACATGCTCTTTGGTGCAGTCAAAAGTCAATAGATACCCTTCTCATGTTAACTCCAACTGTGTATACAAATTTACGTGTATCTGTGGGAGTAGTTACATTGGGAGAACAGAAAGAAGGACACACCTCCGATTTTCTGAAGCCTACGCTTAAATGAAACAAACTCTTATAGTAACGCTATTACCAGACATCTCTTCGACACGGGTCATGAGATGGAAATCGAGAAATCCTTTAAAATTATCAATACACAAAGGAGTTCCATTCTCCTCAAGTTTGCCGAAGCAATTTCTGTCAAACGCTTGAAACCAGATTTATGTGTTCAGAAAGAAGCAGTTATTAGTTAGTTAAAGATATCCAGGTACCAGGGCAAGGAGACTGCTTGCCCTGGTACCTAGATATCTTTATCTTCGCATTTGATTGCGTAATCTTTGTCTTTACCTCACCCTCCTTTTATAATCTGTAATTTTGCTTGTCTCTTGTTTCTATGATTTAAGTTCAACTCAGTACATTGTTACCTAACTTATTAGTCATTATGCATCTAACGCACATCTCGTCTTTATTACGTAAGTCTTTTACCATTATATGCATACATTTATTTTGTTTAAACTTGAAATGCCTTTGAAAAAAATAAATATAAGCGAAATTTTCTAAGCACTGTTTACTAATTGTGGAACTTTCTGTCAACTGACAACATGTAAAATTTGCCAGCTGTAGGCAGCTGATAAGAAGCCAGCGAAATAAACACAGGATGGTACCATATTATTCTGCACAAACCACTGTTGTTCCTGCTTTATTCAAATTCATCGAGGGGAATAAATGCATGAAGTTTCTCAAAGCTACCTTGTTCTAGTGAGTACCGATCAACATGAAACTTAGACTGAAGATTTTCAGTAAACAGGTTTCAGATATTTGACTTTCTGCTCATATGTGTGGTACATATAAGGTACTCAGCGAACAAGCATATGAAAGCAAGTGATGAAAGTAGTATTATACTCTATTTTTATGTACCACTAATGAAACAGACATGTACATACGATAGGAATTATTTAAATTACGTCACATTATTACATGTAATTAAAGCAATCATGTAGACAGGATTATCTCCGCATTTTATCAGAAACATAGATAAATATGCATGCTGCAGTGTCACTTTGAATTTCCCCTTACCACAATCTTTTAAACGTGAAGATTATTTAAATATCTGATCTAAGGTTCCCTTCACCATTTGTCATCTCTTTTTCGCACAAAAATCAATATTCATAAGTTAATCTTAGGCAGAAAAAATCCCGGATGAAATGTAGAAATGGTGAGATATTGACCATAATTTACAGTTTAACCTCAATGTCTAATAATGAAACTTGAATATCAATCTGTCGCACGCCAGGAGCTTGAATGGGGCCCAAATGGGAAGTGATGAGTTGCGCATTCAAGGATGACAGGGAAGAAATGAAAGCTCCTAGGCCAATCAGGGGGACAGTTAAAAAGGACTATGGAAAACATAACGAAATGGAGATGTTTTGCTGAGGCCTTATGTTCAACTATGAAGCCAAGGCAATAACAGTAGTAACATAATCTAGTAAAAGGAAATGTCAAGTGTTGGTTTGCAATGTTTTGAATTTTTTTTACTCCTTTACGTTCCCAGTGGAACCTAGGGATTCAAGGTAGAGGCTTCAAGTCTCTGTAGCAATGGTGTTTATTTCTACGGGATAGGATAGCTAGTCGCATGCTCATCCTTCCTTCTTTACAAGTCTTATTACTAGCTTAACGAGGTAAAGAAGTGCGTCTGTGGCCGAGGATTGAACCCTGAACTACCTGAGTGGTCGGTGAGCACTCTATCGCTGTGCCACCGACGCACGAAGCGATTTGATTGGTTACAGGATTCATCACTAGCTAACATCAGTTAGAGAACCGCTGGAAAGTCTACTAGTACTAGACAGCAGTTTCGTCCTAGTTTGAGACTCCTCATAGTGTGCACCAACCAAGGTTTGAACCCAGGACCTTGCAGTTACGGGGCGAGCTCGTAGACTATTCAATCACTAAGAATCGACACAATGGTCCATGAATTCCAACTTCTGCCGCATCGTGATATATTTAGCTAATTAGCGCAACCGCCAGCTAATGTCACGCGCGAGTAACTGTTCTCCTTCCCAGCTTGGTGGACCTCACTGGTCACGAACCCTCACTAGAACCCTAGGTACTCCCTGTATATGACCAGTCGCCAGTGAGCACTGAAGCACGGTGAGTGTTTGCTGATAATGATGAAACAGCTGCCTAGTACTTCCAAGTTTTCCATTGGTTCTCGGAATGACGTCAGATCGCGATCAATCCTAAGACCAAAACGGTGACCAAAAGTCCCGTGTTAGCTAATTTACTCAGCAAAGCAAATATTAGCATTGTATTATTTACTGAATGACGTTCCGAGCACAATTTATTGCCATTTGGAAATTTAGAAAACCCTGAATTTCTAAGTTGTGCGATTATCTTTTCAGGCTTGAAATGTCTTCCAGTAAAAAATACTGTTATCTATATGTTGTGTTACGTTAGCGTCGGTGGCATAGGAGTTAGGACCCTCACTGACTATGCACATGGTCCGGGGTTCGATTCCCGGCTGACTCACTGCTTTACCTCACTAAGACAGAAATAATGGTAGTAAACCGGAAAGGCTGGGCATGAGGCTAGCAACCCCATCCTGCGAAAATTAAACACCGCTACAGAAACTTCAAGCCACTATCTTGAAGCCCTATGTTCCACTGGAGAACGTGAAGGAAAAAAAATGTTATCTCAAACAAGTTTTTTCAACTATGCTACACCATACTGCAGAAGTTCTCCGGTAGTCCTCTCATGGAATGCTATTCAGCCATACTGGAGATCCAGGTTCCATTCCCATATCTTGTCTAACCTGTAGTAAGCCCAGAAAGAAGGAAAGTTGGATATGACGCTAGTACCTCCATCCTATCAAACAACGCCACCGGTATCGAAATGTCAATGCTTGAAGTCCTATATTTCATTCGAAACGCAATTAACAATAGAGAACACTGCCCGATGTTTCACTGTCAAGTACTTAAATATTTGATAATACTCTTTTGATGCTTTCTTTCCAAAGTTTACTTACCTATAACTTAATTAATGAGTTTTACTGAAGTAAAAGTAAAAGTTTTAATTTAGTTTAATTTTGAAAAAAAGCCAGCATCTTACCTGATAGGCAAACTGTTTAGCATACTCTTCTGATTCATCTATATTTTGTACAAAACCTCCCTCCATCTGATCTGATCCAGACATCAAAATAGCACGATGAAACAATGGTGGACCTCTCCGACCTGATTTCTCTGACAGAAGATGAAGTGCAATATCAGCTGCAGCTGAACCATGACCCACCACAGTAATCTTAGGTAAGGGAGTGAATGCAAAAAGATCCCATACAGTCAAGCATAAACACATTTAATAGGTAATTTACCATGATTTATTTAAATCATAATTTCTCTATTTATGATTTATAATGAACGTGTTCAATATATGAAATATACTCATAACTAAATATCTTTATGTAAAAAAAATATCTCAACTGCTTTAGAGTTTCGCGCGATTATCAGACACTGTTGAAATTTCTTTCTAAATATACTAGAAGGACGTTTACTTGATAAGCAACTCCAGGGGACACTATGGGTAGAGGCTTACCTCCACTTATCATTGCATCGTCTAAGCCCATAGACAACAAAATCACGTGATATCTTGTATTTCAAGTCAGAATAGAGAAAGACTAAAAACCAAGAAGTACAAGACATCTGTGACATCCTACTTAAAACCTAAACAGGCTCCTTACAACACCCTATAATGGATCAGACTTAAAACATTCAGGTTACAAGGTCGACCCACTAACCGTTCAGCTACTGGGACAGCTGACTAGTCGCTTACTCCAGGATGCAATTGCCTAGAATCCTAGTAGGAATTCGTAGCCAGTGAACTTTACCAAGTCACATATAGGGCCAAATAGTCACTGATGACATTAGCTGGTAGTGGCTCCATATCTCGTGAAATGGCAGAAATTAAAATTCATGACGTGAACAGTGGATTTCATCCCACTGATCAAGTGGTTTATTGACTGGCACTGATCCCCCGTGGGCTCATAGAACCTTCCTACTGAAAAGTCCAGACTAGGACACAGCATCTTCCTATTTCACCTTGGATTTCAGTGGTCTTCCAACTGATTTCAATTTGTGATCCAACTTGATACTAGTCAAATGACTGTATACTTACACTTTCAATAAAAAAATCGATCGATGCAGGTAGTAATATGCATCATCTCTATGATGATTAAAACAGATTGCATAAATATATGTTTGTATACAAATAATAAATGACTGTCTATCTCTTAACGTCAATCATATTCAACATGTGTTTATTTCATCTTATTTGCATATTATCATATGGTTTTTTTCTGTCTACCCTTTAGTCAGTTCGAAGACCACTTCCTGTGTGTATAATTTACAATTAATATTTAGAAATTTTTTCAAATTACGCATAATTTAAATACGCATCTCTGATACGTATCTAGAGACAAACGAGAAATCCTGTTTTTCTAAGCATAGCAGCATACGCATAAATTTCTTGAAATGTTACAATGAGCCTAGTTTTGAAGTGAAACTGTCAACCTATAGGAGAGGTGATTACATTGTTTATTCCATCAAAATAGCATCAACGGGAATAAAGAAATTCAAATACTGATGCTTAGAATCAAATAGTCACCAGGTTAATTAGAATACAGTTTCTAAGTGAAAAGATATCTTGTCATTCAGGTCATCATTATTTAATAGAGAAGATTTGTAGCCCAGGTGGATGATTTACAATTAATAGTGTTCTCTGAGCTGCCTGGTTTAGTTGCGGAGCTTTCGTCGTCCCCCTGCTGGACAGCATCTTCAGTGCAATGATTTAAATTTCTTCATGAGTGGTAGAATTGCGTCTCCCAGTAACCATTTTTACATATATATTGGTCATTTTCTATTGACTTGGATTTTAAACTTTCTGGTCACATGATTTACTTTTTATTAGTTGGTACACTTGGTCTATATTAGCGTGTTTGTTAATCACTGGCTGATTCCTTTAAGTACCAGGTTTCTAGGAATTCCCTGGCTCCACTTGTGATGTTTCCTCTGTCTAAGATTTCGACATTATCCCAATCAAATTAATGTCTATAACTGTCTATATGCATTGACATGAAAGAATATAATTCGTGTGTTTTCACGGCTGATTTGTGTTCTTGGATTCTAATTCGAAGGGGACGCCCACTTTGGCCAATGTAATGCCTGTTACAATTCATAAAATTTATTTTGTAAATGGTATTAATTTTATCTCCTTTTTCTGTTGAATGGGTCTTTCGGTTTGCATAAGATGGAATTAAGCGATTTGACTGGCTTGTGTGCTACATCTATATCAAATGGTTTCAGTATTCCAGCTGTTATTTCAGAGATACTTATCATGTATGGTAGGATGAATTTCTTTGTGGTCTTTGATGATGGTTCTTTGTTGGTGTTGTGATTCGATTTTAAACACTTTTTGATGAAATTTTGTGGATAACCATTCATATTGAAGACCATTTGTAGGTATTTTTCTTCCATTCTTTTCAACTCTGGAGTGCTACAGTGTTGTGTTTGAACTCTTTTAAACAATGTCTGCACACAGTTGCGTTTATGAGTAATTGGATTATTGCTAGTATAGTTGAGTATTTGATCTGTGTGCGTTGATTTTCTGTATACTTGCGTCTCTAAATTTCCTGTGTTGGTTCTCCTGATTAAAACATCTAAAAATGAGATTTTGTTATCTAATTCTTCTTCTCTTGTGAATCTGATGTCTTCAAATATGGTGTTTATTAATTTATGGGTGTATTCTAAATCCTTTCTCTTAATTATTACAAATGTATCATCAACGTAACGTAGCTGTCCAGATTTTCGGTTTAATTATAGGTAGAGCTATTAATTCTAATCTTTCCATGACGGCTTCAGCTACTAATTCTGATATGGGCGATCCTATTGGTGTTCCTTTTATCTGTTCATATATTTGAGTATTGAATTGGAAGTATGTTGTAAGGCATAATTTTATGAGTTTTATACAAGTTGAACATTGCGTCCTTATGTTTTCATCACTATAGAGTAATTGTTGCATAGTTTCTGTTGCTAGTTTTGGACTAACTGAAGTATATAATGCTGTGACATCAAAGGGCACCATTATTTCATTGTTTTTGATTTTCTCTAAATTTGGATTGACGAATTGATAGAACAGTCGCGTGATTCTGTTAGGTAATTTAATTTCCTGAAAAGTTTTTTAGATAGATTATATGTTGGTGCTCCTAGAAGTGAAACGATTAGTCCTAGGGGAATGTTTGGCTTGTGCAGTTTTGGTCTACCATGGAATCGAGGTAAAATAGGTCCGTTAGACTTCATTCGCCATTGATCTTGTTATGTAATTTTTCCTGATTTCGTTAGTTTATTTAACGTTGTTCTGATTTTGTTATCTAATGTTTGCATAGGGTTTTTACGTCAACTGTTGATATACATTATTATCTTTGAGTAAATCTTCTGCTTTCTTTATGTAGTCTTCCGTGTCCAGGGTTACTGTTGTTCTTCCTTTATCAGCCTGTAGGATAACTATATCTTTTCCATTCTTGAGTATCTTCAGTGCATTTTGCTCTTCAGTGCTAAGTTGGGAATTCTATCTTTTCTATTTGAGTATAGGTATGATACATTGACGTATTTCTTGTTGTATTTCCTCATTTAATTTTGATAATTTAAGTGATGATTCTTAGGAAGCACCGTCATTATTTATATTCCTTTAGATCCCTTGGGATATAGAGGGCTTCAGCAGTATATTTTCATTGCATTTTATACACTACACTTCTCTTCAGCTGACTCCACAACTGACCATAAGCTCTCATCTCCTCGTCACACGATCTCCGCCATATCAACCTCGGACTGACGACCAACACGTCTTTCCCCACTCAGCATCTGCTCAAGGGCCTGCAGCCTCATGTCACTCAATGGTCCCTTCAGTATACATCCATCCTACCTCCACATTTGTTGGGCAATAGGTTCGAACGAACCAAGAATCTACTTTGAAGGATTCACCTGGAATTATTCAGAAGCCATTGGTAATCAGGTATAGTTTTTCACTCTTCAGTTACACCTTGGATAGTATACTAGTATTAGTCCTGGCTGAAGGGACAGCGAAAACAGGACTCCAAGTGAAAGTAGAGAAGACGGTGGTGATGGAGATAACGAATCAACAGCAACAACAACCAGCACCCATCAACGGGAGAGATTTAACAGAGGTTACCTCCTTCACTTATCTGGGAAGTATCGAGTGGAATCCAAATGGGAAGCGACGAGTAGGTTTTCAGTGCTAGGGTGATATGGAGGAAATCGTCTGAGGAAGAGAGGAGACAGTTTGGTCAGTCGTGGACCCAGCTTAAGAGAATGGCAGAAAATAGAAAAAAGTGGAGATGTGTTGTTGAAGCCAACCTGTGTTCCATTTGGAACGCAAGGGAATACTAATAATAAAAATAAAAAATGACCAAGTCCTCAGATCAACCAATATAGCATAATTCATCATACAGTCAAAAACAATTCATTCTGATAAAGTCTCACAGTGTTATACAGTAATCAAGTGATGGTTTGTTGGGATTTGATTGGTTTCAGGATTTCATGATGAGCTAACATTAGTTAGAAACCATTGGAAAACCTAGTACTGGACAGCTGTTTCGTCCGTTAGAGAACCATTGGAAAACCACCTGGGAGTACTGGACAGCTGTTTCGTCCTAGTTTGGGACTCTTCAGCAGTACGCACCCACCGGGAGTCGAACCCAGGACCTTCCGGTTACAAGGCGAGCTCGTATACCATTAGGCCACTGGGACCCGGTCCAATAGTCCTTGAATTCTAACTTCTGCCAATTGACGACACAGCGCAACCACTAGTCAATGTCTTCAGCGAGTATTTGTCCTCACACCCGACCGGCTGCACCCTACTGGTCACGACTTCCCACCGGAACCCAGGTAACTACCTACCTGAATAAGGCCAGTCGCCAGTGAGCATCTCATTGGTATTCAAGTGATGGTTTGTAGTGATTTGATTGGTTTCAGGATTTCATGATGAGCTGACATTAGTTAGAGAACCATTGGAAAACCTGGGTGGGTGCCTACTGCTGAAGTGTCCCAAACTAGGACGAAACAGCTGTCCAGTACTCCCAGGTTTTCCAATTGTTCTCTATTTAATGTTTTACAGTAATATTTACTGTTGACGTTTCAAGTACTATTTATTGATTATGAGCAGTAATAAACTGTGCTCACCAAACGTCATCAATAAATATTACTGTATAACACTATGAGACTTTCCATAATGGAATTCTATTCTACCACAGTGCCTAAATTCTATTCCTATATCAAAAGAAATTTGCATGAATCAAAGGACAACTATCAGGCCACCAAAATAATCGATAACAACATAAGTGGAAAGGAGAGGGAGGGAGAAAATCACTGGAAGTAACCAATCATATTCAAGAACAACCACCAGGACAGATGGCTAATAAACTCATGGAGAACTTCATAAGCTCAATTCATATTGAAATTTGCTCTAAACGTATTTGTGTCTAGAAAGACAACTCTGAATTCCATTTAAACCACAACCACAACAATATTATCCAACTGTGCTAAGAATCTTCTCCAAGTATAGATAAGATTTTATATATGTTATACAGTAATATTAACTGATGACGTTTTGAGCACAACCTATTGCTCATAATCAAATCAAGTCACTCACACAACATTCTTGTTTCATTGACATACATAAGTGAAATAGATGATTAGACATTTCAATAAAAATCAATATGGGATAATGTACATTCAGAAATAATAATATTAGTGTGATTCATCAAATACAATCAGATGGGAAGGAAGACGAGTGTTTCTAAAGTCAAAATAAGTAACTTGTTAGAATGTTATGATGTACGTGAATTGAAATAGAAGTTTAAGATTATTTATTAGCCTCCTCAGGCGTGAAGCTAGCAACCCCACCCTGTAAACAAAGTTGCTACACAAACTGCAGCACGATTAATCTCCTTGCGCCAAAAGAGAAAGTCTTTGCGGGGACATGGAACGTCCGCACCATGTGAAGTCAGTGCCACTATATGGATCAGAGACTTGCACTGCGCATCATAAAGAGCACTTCAAACAAACTACAGACCTTCATTAACAGTTGTCTTTGCTCAATACTCAAGATCAGATGGCCAGCCAGAAAAGTTCATCAACAAGGATCTCTGGCAATGAGCGAACCAACCCAGCAGGAAACATTTGGGCAACAAATAGGCAGGAAGAAATGGAGATGGATGGGCTGGCCATACTCTGAGGAAACCATCAAGTGACATCACATGCCAGACTATCCCTCGAGTGAAACCCGAAAGGGAAATGACAGGTATGTCGTCCAAGGGTGACTTGTAGGAGGTAATGTGAAGAGGAGATGAAAGCATGTGGGAAGACTGGAAGCCAGGTGAAAACTTTAGCAGAGAACCGAACACAACGGAGACATACAGCTGAAGCCCTATGTTCCTCTAGGAATTAAAGGAAATAATAATAATAGTAAATTAGCCTCCTCTGACTCAACTGGTGGTAATAATATCTTCCATATTTCTGGTATTTCCATTGAGTCATTTCTGTTGCATGTGTTGGCTGTAGACTCGATGAACAATGATTCATTAATCAACCTCTCTCTCCACCTACCTATATTACTTTTTAGAATTTTAACCTTCTCCCACCCACTCTATTGTGTGGTTGTGTGTTAATGCATGCGGTGCAAATTCTGAGCGTTTTTTCTAAATTACTTATCTTCATGGGGTCAACCATTCCTATCTTAGCTCAATTCTTATGTTCCGACAATCTGACTACTCCCTACCTACTAGTTTGACCTACAACTAATTCAAAATCATCCTTCTAAGCTACAAATCTTCTCCATTATCTAATAACACTCGTTTCAATGATATCATTCATTTCTGCCTTTTAATTTATGCAAAGCCTGTTAATTTCTTAACATATTTGCATCTAGTCTAAATTGAGTTTTTCAATATTTATTTTTCTCAATGGCCGAGTTTTGCATAGTCTGCTAACCTTGAAAGTTATGCACACAACAAGTTAACCTATATCAAGGTTACAGTTATTGATTTAATTTGAATTTATTTTTAGAATGAACCTAAACGAATGTGTGTGAATAATGCTTCGAGTCAAATAGTAATTAACTGTTCTCTTTCTCCAGAGGTATACTATATTATATGAATCATACTGTTGAATTTGGACAACAAAACAATTTATTTAATTCAGTCTTAGATTTCCACGTCGATTGACTGGACTGAAGTGCTCGGTTTCGAGTTGGCATGTCTGTCGGATTCTTGTGCAGAAACTTCGACTATGTCTGGGCATGTAATTAGAGGTAAACTGGTGGATGGTGACTAGCAGTGCAATCCAGGATAACGTGCATTTCGTCCTATTTGGTACTCGTCAACTGGATTTACCTGAGACCGAGCACTTTGGTCCAATCAGTCGACGGGAAAATCTAAAATCCATTTATATAATCAATATGACCCATTGCACAAGAGGTGACTCTCGTGACCCAAATGGTCTAGTGGATAACGCTTTGACGTTTGAAACTATGGGCACTTGGTATGAGCCTCGGTGGAAACATCATCATTCACTGGGGAATGCAGGTACTTCGAGCTTACAAGTCCCAAATTGGACGAAATGCGCTTTATCCTGGATTCCACTGCTAGTCACCATACACCAACTAACTTCTAACAAAACACTATTTTATCAAGTGTCAATTGATAGGGATTTAATTGGTTACAGATGTGATCATCAGTTGACATCACTTTGAGAACCACTGTGACTGAAGTTTCTTGGGGTCTAACCCTACACGGTGCTTATTGTTGAAGAGTCATACACTCGAACGAAACACCTATCTGGTATTCTCAGGTCTTTCAGTGATTCTTTAACTTATATCACCTCGTGATGGAACCTATAAAACAATTTATTCTTCGTGAATCCCTTTAAAAACACTATTATTATTCCCTTGGGTTTCGGGTGGAACATAGGGCTTTGGCAGCAAGTCCACATTCTACACTCTTTCATGAAGTTTATTTTATCCGGCTCTACGACTGACCATAAGGTTTCATCCTTCCTTCATACCGTCTTCTTCATGTCACCTCCAGACCCGTGCCCAACTCGTTGGTCCCACACAACTACCTTCTCAGCCCATATCCAATTCAGCTCTATCCGCTTCGGCACTGCACTGCCAGAGTTCTGTGTTACTTATTCTTTCTTGTCGACCGCTAAATGGAGTTAAGGTAGCCGTCAGTAAAAGCCTACACCAATTCTCTGGACTACATAGAAACATTAACTTAACATTTGTGTTGAAAATTTATACTGTCTTCTTGGTGCAAACGTTAGAAAATTGGAAATATAAAGCCTTAGTTCATTAGTTTCATTAAGGTTATTACTAAACAAATGGGTTCACTTCAATATCAAGTGAAATCAGTCACTAATAACCAAATGAAAACTAGACAGCAGTTTTGTCCTTGTTTAAGACACTTCAGTGTCCTGGAGCCTTGACCATGCAAAAGAACCTTTGGGTTTTAAAGTCAGTGGGTTAAAGTTTAATGGTCTATCATGGAAAAAGAGGACAAAACCAATTCATGAACTTCTGATAAAATCAGCGGATGTCTGAGACACATGGGTGGAGACTTTCTAATCGATAGAACTGCCCACATTCCTCATACATTTAATGCAGCCCACAATAAAATAAATCACTACTTTTGATTAGCAGTACATAAAGTCATTGAGTTACACTTTGAGACTAACAACCAGTGCAAGCAAAACTATTCACGTTTAAAAATTTGATCGTAAAATGCTTTCATTCAGAGAACTATTGAAAACCAAAAAGAAATGGATAACTATTTCATCCTGGTTTGTGATTCAGCTGCATTACATAGCCATGACCTCACAGGGATCAAACTTAGGCTACGACACAAAGCCCGTTGGCCATTCAGACATTCGGATCAAAATTTAATGCCCCATGAATTCTAATTCTGTTGATTCGTAACATAACTCTACCGCCAACTAGTCGCATCCGTGAGCATCCAACTCACTTTGACATGGTGGCCCCCACTGACCACGAATTCCCATTACAACTTAAGGGCATCCATCCAGTAGTCATCGGTGAGTTGGGGATCGATATTTAGATTATGCACTTTGTGGAGATTGAGATTAATTTGTAGCATGTTGTTGGGGAATCATTCCTACTTCCGAGGTGCTCACTGTTACTTAGAAAATCCATCTTGTGGTTAGTCATCAGCTGGTACAGAGGGCTAGTTTTGCATATGCCAGTTTACGCCGTCTCTGGCTTAGTAGACGTGAAATCCGACTATCGACCAAAGGGTGGGTGTACTGCTCATCAGTCCGCTCCGTCCTCCTTTATGGCTGTGAGACCTGGCCACTGAGAGTAGAAGACATAAAAAGATTAACTGTCTTTGATTATGGATGCCTGTGTTCTATCTCCCTTGTGAAGTGGTATAATAAGGTAAGCAATATTGAGATTAGGCTTCGGTCGAGGGCTAGGTTAGAGGGGAAAATCGATCGACAAGGTTGTGAAGCTACATTGACTGAGATGGTTAGGACATGTGTTACGTATGCCCGCCTAGCCATCGCCTTCCTCAACGACAGGCAGTGTTGGCTGACATAGGGTCAGGCTGGAAAAGAGCTAGCCGCAGTCAAACCAAAACATGGCTTCATCGGTCAATGAAATCCACAACAGTTAGTTTAAGCCATGTAGGGAGGTGAAGACTGACTTCCTGGTTGGGGTCCTCGGGACGCTAAACACAAATGGCTGGAGACAATTGGTGATATGGCTCAAAGTGATCGTTCTCAATGGACGGCTCAGATGCATCCACTCCTTGTGACTTATAATTTCCAATGAAACTATATTGTTCTTCGTTATTACTATTCCTTTTGTCTCATATCTCTGTCTATTCTCTCTGTTATACATTTCTTCTACTTTCTTCTCTTGCTTTATGTACTACAGGGAGTGTAGTGACTTGAACTGCTGCACATCTGTGCAGAGTTCTATGTCGAAAACAGGCAGACAAACAGACAGTCATCAAACGGTGAGTAACTGTTTTTTTAAATGTCATTATTGACTTATACTAACTTGAAGCACTTTGGTTTTCATCTTTTATGCAAGTGACATTAACTCTTCATTAATCACTTAAATGCATGTTTTGAGTTAGGGTATAAATTTTGAACTAATTCTTAATTCAGTAAGTTGGTATCACAGAAAAAGTATTTCTGCTTACTTGGTTAGGATCACCGAGGAATTTCTCTGCATGTTCCCTTATAAATTCTAAAGCTCTAACTTGATCCCATAATCCATAATTTCCCAATAATATCTCATCATTGTCATCCTTGTATTCACCTTCTTGGCTTTGAACTTTATTGGAAAGATAACCAAATGGACCTAGACGGTAATTGACTGTAACAACGACTAATCCTAATTGAGCTAAAGCATGTCCAGGATAACGATTTGCTGATCCGGTTAAATGATCTACACCATCGAAAAATACAATTATTGGATATCTCTTTTGATTGCCATTGATAAAATTAGTTGTAGTTGAAGTGTCTGACACTTTTAAATTGTATATATTAAGATAAAGACAATCTTCACTGATATTTGAGGCTTCTTCATCTGTTTGTACAAATGTGAATCGTTTAAACCATTCACTGGATATTTTGACCATTCTGTAAATGAACTGCGTGGACTTAAACTTGGCTGAGAACAAGCTGAACGAAAGTGTGTTGCATCATATTTCTCTGTAGACAGGGCTGGTTGTACAGGCCGACGAAATCTTAAATTATTCTCCCTTGTCGGTGGACGTGCATACGGAATACCCTTCCAAATCTAAAATAAAAATGAGGATAAAATGGGATTCAGCATATGCAAATGAACAGATGTTATGGCGAAATATGAGTGCGCATTCTTTTGTTGCTAATTGCGTAACTAATGCCATCGATAACAGTCTTGTTATCATAGAGATGACTTCATTCATATTAAAAGCAAATGTGCGGTTATCGCAAACAGAAGGCAGAACAAATGTTCTTGTGGTCGTTAGACAAATGGTAACATTTAACAAATCATTCAACTTATGTCTTAACTGAAGAGAAAAGCCTCACATCATATCTCCTGGATACCTACTGTGAAAAGTCCAAACCAGGACGAAACAGCTGTCCAGTAATCCCAGGTGGTTTTCCAATGGTTCTCTAACCGATGTCAGCACATGACGAAATCCTGTAATAAATCAATCAAATCCCTACAAACCAATACTTGAATATTTCCTGAAAGTTATTCAACTCCCAGGGGTTGAGTTTCTTTACAGATAGGCAAACTTAGTTGAAAACTAGTCAAACTAATACACCTACAATGAGTCTTTTCCTTTCTTCAGTCCTTGCGTTCTCATTCAGACACAGGACTTCAGGAGTTAGAATTTGAAGTTTCAGTAAGGGCGTTGTTTTCAAAGTGTGGGGCTTGATACTGGCTAGGCGAGGCTTAGGAGCACATCGGAAATGAATCAAACACCAGTCTCCCGTATGAGTAGTCAGTATTCTACCACTGAACAACCGAATAACACACTGAAGTGAATCACAAGGAGTCGATTATATGAATCAATCAAATAAATACTTATTCAAGCAACTCTTATATCAGTTTTGATTAATTGTGATGACCAAAACACAAGTATTTTAGTCTAAACGCAGGGATTACTCGATTTGTTTTACTGTAGAGTTTGTCACACTTCAGCAAGGAACATATGTCCAAAAATCATATTGCAACAATAACACTTACCAGCATGGTTTTACAAAGGAGAAAAACCATACCCCCGCAGCTCTATCTCAGGACATCTGATAGATTCCGGACAACAAACTACACCCCCAAACAAGCTTCAAAGTCGTCTACATAATAAGAAGCAGTCTGCCTAAAAGTGTACGAGTCAAACTTCTCCAAACTGCAGAAGTAATGGAAATTCACTTGCTAAGTAAGTCCTAAACTCTGCATACAGAAGAGGTTCATTCAATCACTACACTTGCAATGGACATAATCTGTCTTAATACCCGACAGGTAAATTCTATTTCTTTCTGTCTCTTCATTAGTATTATTTTGTCTTTACAATTGTAATATTTTACATTTTCAATCTTCTGTTCTCTTCCCCCACCCGATTTAATTTCTACACCTCATTACCACTGTTACTGACTTGATCAACGCTCGATTTCTAGTCATCTATGTTACATCGTCCAATTTATTTGCTCAACTTCAGTCCTAATTTAAATCGCATTATTCTCTACCCCACCTCTATTTAGTCTCTACCTGTCATTACCTCTATTGCTATTCTGACCGAAGTTGAAACATTTTAGTCAATTATATTACGTCGTCATCTAACTTACTAACTCAATCTTACTTTAGTTGCTGTCTAATTAACCTTGTTTCCATTTAACATCATTCTTGTATTACCTAATTAATTATCTAAAAATGACGAACCTCATGAACAAACAAAAAACAAAATAAGTGTATATAAATGCGACTATGCAGCTATGTGAATGAATTCGCCGAAAAGAGACTCTTCGCTGAACTTGTACCCTTTTACGTCGAAAATAATCTGAGACAGTAGAATATGTGATAATATGCAGCAAATGGTCGCGCTATGTCGTGAATTGGTAGAAGTTAGAATTCAAGGAGCATTGGCTCAATGGTCTACGAGCTCGCCTTGTAACCAGAAGGTCCTAGCTTCGAACCCCGGTGAGTGCGTATTGCTGAGGAGCCAGTCCCAAAATAGGACGAAACAGTTGTCCAGTACTTCCAGGTTTTCCAGTGGTTCTCCAACTAATGTCAACTCATGATGAAATCCTCTATGCAACCAAACAAAAATCCCTACAAAACTAATGCCTGGAAAATATTTAAATCAAAGATACAAAATTGCCTCAGTAGCGCCCTCCGTTAGCTATACAGTCCAAACGTTTCAACGCATTCCATTTTGAAAAACCTAGGAGCCAGATATATTTTATGGTTACAGCTTGATTCCACACCGTATTTTTGGTACAAGTGTGGAATTTTCAGCGTGGATATCGGTAGCCCAAAATTCGCAGGCCAACCATAGATATCAGGTGTGCGTCGGCGAGGGCTCGAACCCCGGACCATGTGCATGGTCGGCGAGAGTCCTAACCACTGTGCCACCGACTACCTTCAAAATCTAGTGAGTTCAATCTCAAAGGTGACTGTGAAACACCTGTATCTGTAAAGTACAGTTTATTTTCTCCAGACAAGATAAGTTCAGGGAAGTAAACACGTAAGTATTTAAAAAAGTTAAGAGCCTTCTAGGAATCCCCAAAACGATATGAAGTATTCTGACAACCCATGAGCCTAAGTTTTATACTGTAAGATCAAAATTTTTTCTCCGATTGAATTAAACAAAACAATTCTTTACAGGATTTTCATCATGAGCTGACATTAGTTAGAGAACCATTGGAAAACCGCCTGGGAGTACTGGACAGTTGTTTCGTTCTAGTTTGGGACTCTTCATCAGTACGCACCCACCGGGATTCAAACCCAGGACCTTCTGTTTACAAGGCGAGCTCGTATACCATTAAGCCACTGGGACCCGATCCAATGGCCAACGAATTCTAATTTCTGCCTCTTCACAACATCCTGTAAACCAATAAAATCCCTACAAATCATCACTTGAATACCAATGAGATGCTCACTAGCGACTGGCCTTATTCAGGTAGGTAATTACCTAGGGTTACAGTGAAAAGTCGTGACCAGTAGGGTGGAGCAGGTCGCGTGTGAGGACAAATACTCGACGAAGACATTGGCTAGCGGTTGCGCTGTGTCGTGAATTGGCAGAAGTTAGAATTCAAGGACCATTGGACCGGGTCCCAGTGGCTTAATGGTATACGAGCTCCTCTTGTAAACAGAAGGTCCTGGTTCGAATCCCAGTGTGTGCCTACTGCCGAAGAGTCCCGAACTAGGACGAAACAAACAGCTGTCCAGTACTCCCAGGTGGTTTTCCAATGGTTCTCTAACTAATGTCAGCTCATGATGAAAATCCTGTAACCAATCAAATCCCTACAAACCAACACTTGAAAACAATTCTTACTTGAAGATAACTTCTTGCATTCTCCTGATAACCATATTCACTATCCAGTGAAATTGCATAACCATACATAATGCCATAATCTGTATGCACTGGTCTTGCATTTCTACAACACTCTGGTTGAAAATAAGCTGCACAACCGGGGATCGGATCACATACAGGACCAGTTTTAGGTATAATATTAAAACAGCATTCATCATCATAACATCCGACGGATTTTAGACAATAATTCAATTGACTCTGTGAATAGTTAATCCATCCTGTGATCAGAAGTAGCTGAACAAGTGATTTCAATACAGTATCCATTGTAGCTATTCAGCGGCTTGATTATCTAAGTCATTGTTGTCAATAATAATCCAAGAATGAATATAAAGTAAAAAAAACTCCAACTGTCAACCAACACTGTATCACACTGATTCGAAATTCGAGAAATTCATCATATTACCTGATGACCTTCGGTTGAAACTACCAATCAAAGATGAGTTTCTAATCCTTTGTAATGATGAGCATCATGGAAATGCATATAAATGACTTCACATATGATAGAGATGCTAAGCGTTTGTGTAAGAGAACAATGCAAAGTGTGATTTACATTTGTGTATTTGTTTGTATGCATGTGTGTGCGCGCGTGTGTGTTTGGATATGTGTGCATATACGTAAAGAAAACACCTGATAAGTCAGACAAGTTGTTCTTGCCTGTGCATTAATATTATATGCGCATAGATATGGCCAGTTAGCGGACAATTGTTTCATGTGCATACTTGCGTAGAGACTTAACACAAAGCTCCTTCCATCTGTGCACATTCACATGATGTAACTTAATTCACTACCTAGAACAGAGAAATAGCATTAAGGCACACTCAAATATTAGATGTATTACTCAATGTGTCTAAATTTTCGTTAGTCATGAAAAAAGGTTAAGGCATTGAACTTTCACATTGTAGACTTCAGAAACACACCAACGTATATGCTGTCAAGATTTCTCTCGACAATACTAAGACCGACAAGAGACAACTCAAAAGCTACAATAGTAGATTCATTGAATTAGTGAGGCGAATAAAAACCACTAAAATAGAGGAGGAAGAAATACTAGTTAGCTTTGATGTAAACAGTCTTTATACGAAAATACCCATTCAAATGGCCATGATTGCACTGAAAGAGAAACTAAATGAAGATAATAGCCTGAAAGACAGAACACAGTTATCCGTAGAAGAAATAATAAAAGAAGTAGAATTCTGTCTGACAACAACATATTTCACATTGGAAGGAAAAATATACCAACAAATGAGGGAGTAGCTATGGGATCGCCTATCTCACCAATTATAGCTGACATATTCATGGATTATTGGGAGGAGAATGCCCTTAGACCATTCAGATCACCACTAAAATGTTGGTGGAGATATGTAGACGACACACTAGTAATAGTGAAAAAAAACGATACTGAGAAACTTTTCTCACACATAAACAACCACGTCGACTCAATAAAATTCACTATGGAATTAGAGAATGAAATTGGAGAACTGCCCATGTTAGATTGCAAACTACAAAGAATGACAGATGATAGCATAAAAACAACGATATATAGAAAAGTCACACATTCTGGAAGATTCCTTGATTATCGCTCAGCTCATCCACTCTCGGTAAAACGAGGATTAATACAAGGTCTTGCAGACAGAATACGTAGACTTACAACAACACCAGAGGACCAGCGTAAAGAAATAAAAGTCCTATTCAAAATGCTACTCGAAAACAACTATCCTAGAGAATTTATAAAAGATAATATAAAAAAGAGAAAAAAGAGGGTAAAGCCGGAGAATAACAAGGAAGAATGGAGAATTAATTTTCCCCTTTTGCTGTACGATCGCATTTACATATACAGTGTTAAGATCGAATATACCATGTTTTCTCACGAAAGAGGGTAGTAACAAAAGTGATGAGCTGTCACCATCATAGTTGCTTATATAATTCAGTGTTTAAAAGAAGTTAAATATGAATTGAATTTTTGATTTTCCCGTCGATTGATTGGACCGAAGTGTTCGGTCTCAGGTTGACATGTCGGCTTCTTGTGCAGATGCTTCGACGATGTCTGGGCATTTAGTTAGTATACAATTGGTGGATGGTGGCTAGCAGTGGAATCCAGGATAAGGCGCATTTCGTCCTATTTGGGACTCGTCAGCTGGATGTACCTGCATTTCTCAGTGAGTGATGATTTTCCACTGAGGCTCGAACCCAGTACCCATAGTTTCAAACGCCAAAGCGTTGCCCACTAGACCACTTGGGCCACGAGAGCCACCTCTTGTGCAACGGGTCATATTAATTATTGATAATTCTTGATTTTCCCGTCGATTGATTGGACCGAAGTGCTCGGCTCTCGTGGTCCAGGTGGTCTAGTGGATAACGCTTTGGCGTTTGAAACTATGGGCACTGGGTTCGAGCCTCGGTGGGAACATCATCACTAACTGAGAAATGCAGGTACATCCAGATGACGAGTCCCAAATAGGACGAAATGCGCCTTATCCTGGATTCCACTGCTAGCTACCATCCACCAATTGTATGGTAACTAAGTGCCCGGACATCGTCGAAGCATCTGCACAAGTAGCCGACATGTCAACCTGAGACTGAGCCCTCGGTCCAATCAATCGACGGGAAAATCAAGAATTCAATTCAACTTGGAATATAATTCTAAATACAAACACATGAATGATTGTGGAGTATAATTCTGAACACACATATGCACACACAAAACATGAATGAGCAAAAAATAATAATAATGAACTGTATATATGAGTACAAATCATAAATGTGTGAATAAAACAATTCCAACAGTGGTGTGATCACGGGCAGTAATTTTGCTCGAAATATTACCAATAACAAAACTTATCATTGTGTAAACTATTAAAATATAATTATACTTTATTTAATCTAATCTACAATGTTCAAACTTTTACTGATATTAATTTCACATTCATATATATTGATGGAAATGATCTGTTCTACAATATTTTTCATCAGTTAGGGTAAGAATAAGGGTTGATGTGAGGCTTGAGGTGAAAACTTCGTTGAAATCAGAGCAAAACTCATATGAACAACTGAAATCAGAGTAGAATTCGGCCAGTGTGGTAGAGTGTAACTCTATCACAATAGTTATTTTTTCTGATTCAAAAATATAATGACAGAGTTACAAGATTTTATCGTGAGCTGACATCAGTTAGAGAACCATTGAAAAACCACCTGGGATTACTGGATAGCTGTTTCGTCGTAGTTTGGAACTCCTCACAGTACGAACTTACCGAGGTTCGAACTCAGTACTCCTAGATTTTCCAGTGGGACTGTAACCAATGTCAGCCCTTGATGAAATCCTATAGCGAATCAAATCAAATCCCTGCTAGCCGACACTAGAAACGTGGTAGGATATTAATTAATTGATGATGTTTCGAGAACATTTTATTGCTCATAATCATATTAAAGTGCTCACGTGACCTTCAAATTATCCTTTACATAATTCTATAATTTATTATCCTTCCACTTTATTGCTAGTAGATTATTTTCCATATATCTGGTATCGGTGCTGCAACATTCATGTTGCACTTGTTAGGTGTAGGTAGATTCAAATTATTCAGACAATATCGGTGTAGTTCCAGAAGAAACGCGGTGGCGGTGTCGCCATCTTCATCAATTCACAATGGTGTACGTCTAATAATGTATGTTTCAAATTCTCTAGTGACAATATTGACTACCTCACCGTTAAGTGTCGACCTAAACATTTGTCAAAATACAACTACATTTACATCTCGAACATTATATTGCTCCTGGATGCAACTCCACAGAATTATCTTTATTTGCGGATGAATTTACCTCCCTTGCTGCCACCTCCTTCGGAAATTCCTTGTCTATAGTTACTGGTGATTTTAATTCTAGTGATCACAGCTTCCTAATTTCACTTGGACACGATAACATTGTCAACTTCCCGACTAGAATCAATAACACTCTTGATCTTGTGTTTACAAATGACACAGGAATATTTGAAGCTCGAAAAAGAGCCCCACTACTAAATTTTGATCACTGTATCATAAGAATATTGCCCAGATGTTATTCTCATGACAACATACTGAATCTAAGGACCATGTATAAAGACACAAACTGGGACTTATTTACTGAACAAGCTCTTGATAACACAATTACCAACATAACACATTATCTTAATTTCTGTCTTGATGTTTGTTGTCCAAAAGAGACAATCTTCTTAAAATTCGATCGCTTCTCCTCTTCTCAACTCCGCCGTGAAAAAGAAAGGTTGTTCAAAATGAAAAATAAATCTGGTGTAAGAGGAATGAACACTTTGATTAAGCTTGAATTACAAAGATTGAATGCTCTCTATAACCAGAAGTTTCTTTCATGTAAATCCCCATCAAATATGTGGAAGTTATTAAAGGAAATCACAGGTGGTAAGCAAATAATGAATGATATTTCTGTAGATGTTAACATGCTTAATGAATCCTTCATATGTTTCCCAGCAGATATTATGATTCCTAACTCAAATAGTGTAAATAATGACTGCTTCTCATGCTTTAATACGAATGATGTCCTCAAGTGTCTTCAATCTCTCAAACCTACTCAGTCCCTTGGTCCTGATGGTGTTCCTGCTGTTATCCTTAAGAAGTGTGCTGACATCTTGTGTTCCCCATTAACTGACATTTTCAACGAATCGTTTTCCAAAAGTATTATACCTGAATCATGGAAAAATATCAAGATCGTTCCAGTGCCTAAATCAATGGACCTAATGTTAAGTTTAGACCCATTGCTATTACCTCACCTTTTTGAAAGTTATGGAAAGACTTATTTTACTTAATCTTGAACCCTCTTTAAAGCCTTTCAACGACCCCAACCAGTTTGCTTATAAACATAGTAGGTGTACGTTAGATGCCGCTGTTGTCCTACATCATAGCATAGTCTCTAGTTTAGATAAAGGAGCTAAATACGTTCGCTGTGCCTTCCTTGATTACACATCTGCATTTGACTCTGTTCCCAGGTCTCTCTTGCTAAGTAAGCTTGCTGCAACACAGGCTGAGAGCTGGACAAATAAGTGGTTGCATTCCTATTTTTCTGATAGGAAGCAGTACACCGTCTACAATGGAAAGTCCTCCACTACCTCACTTACTTTAGCTGGTGTTCCTCAAGGTGCTGTTTTTCTCCCTTTCTGTTTTCGTTTTTCTTACATGACTTGCCTCATTCTGATGTAGCCACTTTTGTTAAGTATGCCGATGACCTCTCTGTTTCTATGCCTGTCAACTCTCAGTCAGATTGTT